CAGACCCCTTTTCAGACCATATGCAGGTGTAGTTGTCCCTGGGTTCCTCCTAATGCAGGGCAATTCTAGACATCATTTGGCTAGATTGTGTAAGCACTTCCAACAAGATGAAGGCTTTGAAGCTATGGAATGGCCCTCCCGTTCCCCAGAGCTGAATCCCACTGAGCACACCAGGGACATCATGTATCATTACACTGCAACAAGTACAGAGCAACAAAATTAATTATCTGCATTTAACCCATCCCTTTGGGGAGCAGTGAGCTGCCGCTATGCAGCTGGGGGTAATGTGGGGTTAAGGGTCTTTTACTCATGGACCCAGAGTGGCAGTCTGTGGGAGTGGGGCTTGAACACAGAAAATCTGGATTCTAAGCGCAATGTCCTAACAAGTTTGGGAAATTCACTCTCTGCATTAGACCCATTCCCTTGGGGTGAAGTGGGCTGCCATAGTGTGGGGCCCGGGAAGCAGTGTGGGGTTACGGTTTTTGCTCAGGAACCCAGAGTGGAGGCTGAGGGTATCAAACCGGGTACTTTCAACCTTCTCAGAGCACAAGTGACTGCTCTAACCACTAGGCCAACGCTCCCCATCTTGTTCTCTTGATCCCATCATGTCTCCATCCATCCACCAACGCCACATTGCACTACAGTCTGTATAGCAGTGGGTGGATGCTTTAGTCCAGCTCTGGGAGGAGATCCCTCAGGAGACCATCTACCACCTCATTCAGGCAACTGGAGGCCACACACAGTACCTGTTTGAAGGACATTACATTTAAGCTGGAGAAGCCTATAGTGTGTTTTTCCAATTTGATTTTGTGTGTGACACCAATTCCAGAACTTTTTTTTTATTGGTTTTTGTGTGATTTTGTTGTCAGTACATTCAACTTTGTACAGACAAAGTATTCAATGAAAATATTTCATTCATTCAGATCAGGATGTGTATTAACCCCCATTGACCAACGGTGCTGGTGATTAACAGTGGATAACTTTACATGGTTTGACTAACTTAATGCTTTTGTTTCTGTTATTAATCCTGTTGTTCCAGATCAGTGTCCTTTCTGTTTGCTTTAAGTAACCATTTTTTAACCGCTTTGTAGATAATAAACTATCACGCTACTCATGACATTTGGAACTGATTGGGAGAAAGTTTTATAGAGCATTCTTTTATTGTTCGGAACTTCAAATGACAAAAGAAAGAAGAAAAAAGGATAGCTGTTAATTTTTTCCTTGAAGCAGAGTTGGCAAATTATTTAAGCAGAATATCTTGATAATGAGCAAAACAACTAAAACTTCAACAGTATGTTAGAGCAAGAGGAAAACTAGAACAGAAATACCATTTCAAAATAATGATTCCTATTTTTTATTGAAAACAATGATTGCATTTTATTTTATTTTATTTTATTATTATAAATGTATTGATTTGAGATAAATATATATCGGGATTATAACTGAGTGATTAAAGGAGTTTAAAAAAAAAATCATCTAATATATTCTAATTTTTTGCAGATCTGGAACCTTTAGATTTAGAAACAGAGGAAACAGAGGACCTGTGTCTGCAGCACCATACATCCTAACAGCAAACACCGAGCTGCACCTAGTTCTAATTCTTGGACATTCGTCACGGTGACCCTAACTAAAGGTCTCTCTAATTATTTGCATTAAGTCTAGGTTAATTGTACCGACACAAATGCTGCTCATTACTCCGCTTTGGGAATAATCAGACTGTGGTTCTTGAACATAGAAGAACCTTAATGCTTCATAAAAGCTATAATCTTTTACACTCAACGGCCACTTTATTAGGTTCACCTGTCCAACTGCTCGTTAACACTTAATTTCTAAGCAGCCAATCACATGGCGCCAACTCAGTGCATTTAGGCATGTAGACATGGTCAAGACAATCTCCTGCAGTTCAAACCGAGCATCAGTATGGGGAAGAAAGGTGATTTGAGTGACTTTGAACGTGGCATGATTGTTGGTGCCAGAAGGGCTGGTCTGAGTATTTCAGAAACTGCTGATCTACTGGGATTTTCACGCACAACCATCTCTAGGGTTTACAGAGAATGGTCCGGAAAAGAAAAAACATCCAGTGAGCGGCAGTTCTGTGGGTGGAAATGCCTTGTTGATGCCAGAGGTCAGAGGAGAATGGCCAGACTGGTTGGAGCTGATAGAAGGGCAACAGTGACTCAAATAACCACCCGTTACAACCAAGGTGGGCAGAAGAGCATCTCTGAACGCACAGTACGTCCAACTTTGAGGCAGATGGGCTACAGCAGCAGAAGACCACACCGGGTGCCACTCCTTTCAGCTAAGAACAGGAAACTGAGGCTATAATTTGCACAAGCTCATCGAAATTGGACAATAGAAGATTGGAAAAACGTTGCCTGGTCTGATGAGTCTCGATTTCTGCTGCGACATTCGGATGGTAGGGTCAGAATTTGGCGTCTACAACATGAAAGCATGGATCCATCCTGCCTTGTATCAACGGTTCAGGCTGGTGGTGGTGGTGTCATGGTGTGGGGAATATTTTCTTGGCACTCTTTGGGCCCCTTGGTACCAATTGAGCATCGTTGCAACGCCACAGCCTACCTGAGTATCGTTGCTGACCATGTCCATCCCTTTATGACCACAATGTACCCAACTTCTGATGGCTACTTTCAGCAGGATAATGCGCCATGTCATAAAGCTGGAATCATCTCAGACTGGTTTCTTGAACATGACAATGAGTTCACTGTACTCAAATGGCCTCCACAGTCACCAGATCTCAATCCAATAGAGCATCTTTGGGATGTGGTGGAACGGGAGATTCGCATCATAGATGTACAGCCGACAAATCTGCGGCAACTGTGCGATGCCATCATGTCAATATGGACCAAACTCCCTGAGGAATGCTTCCAGCACCTTGTTGAATCTATGCCACAAAGAATTGAGGCAGTTCTGAAGGTAAAAGGGGGTCCAACCCGTTGCTAGCATGGGGTACCTAATAAAGTGGCCGGTGAGTGTAGCTTTTAAAGTTCTATAGAGACTGAATCCTTCAGAGGACCATGGTCACCACCCTTTATCACCACTGGACTGAGAGGCTGCAGGCTAAACATAGGACACCTTCAGCCCAGACTTCTGGAGAAATTCTAGGGACTGGTGAAAACCAGCGTCTAGCGTTTCTGGGGGTTTCCCACTTTTATATGCCGAGTTTAGTGAAGGAAAATCCCTCACGTTCTTAATTTGGGCTCAAATTAGAGCAGCAGAACTTTTCAGATTCCAGGGACGGTCGTTACATCAGGACCTCCATGGTCTGGTTCCTGTGTCCTCCTCGCTCTGCCTGGGGACATTTGTCCAGAGGAAAGGCTGGATCCTGATGTTAATGACCTAGAAGCTGAAGCTTTAGACTGACTGGGAAAGTGTAAAGTAGGGTTGAAAAACGGAATCTTTCCATATTTAGAATTAGAAATACCTGTCCAGTCTTTAGTGGAAAAGTAACGCACTTTGTCCCGTATTACTGTGAAAGTAAAAAATAGTCAGTAAAAAGCTAATGGAGCTATTACAGAAATGAAGAACAAGGGCACGGTAGATACAAAACTTATGGTAAACTTGTTCCTGGAGCCTGTCCTGCGTTTATTAGCTGACAACATATATGTAACGGTCCAGAATCCCCTCATCCCATTGGGAGAGCCAATTGTTGCTCACTGAGAAGATAGCGGGAGACAACAGAGCAACAGCAAACAACTCCTCACTCCTGTAAGAGCTCAGCGGAAATACAAGTGGAAAAAAAAAACTATCACTACATAATTAAGCATTGAGCTAACGATTATTTTTCTGTTTTACAACTGTAGCCTACAGTCATTACATTTAAGGCACAAATATGTTTACAAGTTTGCACAAGTTTGCTGTTGCACAAAAAATTGGCACTATTTATTTATTGTTTTATATTCATTTTTACAGTTTAAGATACTTATTTTTTTTTTAGCAAAGTTTGTTATTTTGTATCAGAGTGAATTGCTGGAAAACTATTTGTTTTGCATGTGTTCATGTCACTCACAAATATGCATCTAATTCAGTGCAGATTTGCGTCAAATAGTTAAAAAAATAATTTCACACACAATGGCGGGCTAAAGAAAATCCACACCAGGATAACAGGTAAAGGCAATCGGGTGAGCTGGCACAAACATGAGGTGTCCCGTTTCTTTTTTCAGGGAGTTATTGACCCTAGTGTGAAGGCAGAAGAGGAACAACGAGGAATATGAGGATTGATGTAGTTATTATTCTCCTTGAATGAATGTCCAAATACAGCTAAGTGTCCATAGCCTCTAAAAAAGGTCCAGGGTCTCATTGATCAGCTTGTTTGGCACAAAACAGGACCTGAAACCTGCCAACTCTACTTTCCTGCTTAATTTGTGGTTTATCAAGAACAAACTTGGCGGCTGTTGACCCAACTCTGACCCATCCTACAGGTCGGCATATTCTGGAGACAGATGGAGACTGAGGGGAACTGAAGATGGATTGCGTCACAGCTTCTGTCAGACATTTTTTTTTTCACTTTATATGAAACTTTGACCAAATATCTACTTTATCAGATCCAAACTACGGTGATCTATGCTGGCGCTGACAGATCAGACCAGAATCAGAGTCCGCTCATATATCGATTTTTCCTCTCTGATCATCAGTCGGACCCTCATGGAAGGTTTATGAATCACTGTAAATGTTTAAAAACCTCTAAACAGTCCTTAGCAATAATCCTGCAGCTCCTTCTTCATCTGATTGGTCATTAATACCTCATTTTGTTCATTTTTCCTACCAAGCAGACCTATCTGACCTTCTCAGACTAACACCTCCATAAAGAAACTGGGTTTTCTGCTCTCAGGTTGCGGCTGCCATGGTAACCGTTGAATAACATTGATTAGCAAGCTCATTTCAACACACAATGGCATTCATGCGGTGCATTGACGGACGGCTGTGTGGAGGGGGGAAGGACCAGTGGCTCCATGCTGTCCCTGGTCTCCTGGCCAGCCTACCTGAGGTAGAGCACCCGCGCTATCAGGCCATACAGCACGATGGCGAGGAGCAGCGGGGTGACGTAGAAGATGGTGAAGTCGATGAGGTAGATGGGGAGGTAGAGCTCCCGCTTCACTCTGTAGCCACACTGCACGTGTCCGTCGTGTCCCACCTGAGCATTAAACAGAAATGAGGGTCATAATGGTTTCCCATCTGCACATAATAACGCTGCTCTCAGACTGGGCTCTGATGCCGCCTGCAATCTAAGCAGCGCCTGCGACAGAGGCGGCCGAGGAAACTATTAACACAGGGTCATCAGTTGGTGACCAGAAACATCCTTTCTGTTGCAAGTCAATATCCTCACACTAAAAGATTAATATTAACAGAGGCAGGGACTAGAGTGACTTGGGACTTGACTGCACAGGTCTTGAACCTGTTCAATTGACATGGAAATGTAGCCCGAAAGTTTAAAGCACCTGTTCTTTAAAATCTCAGCTCTTTGACATTAACTAAACTTTTCTTAGAAAAAGACTTGGAAGGAGATGAAGTTTGACGCTTCAGATATGGGACCTTACTTCAGGGTTACCTTCCCTGACATGGGACTTGAGGATAAAGACTGGGATTGGCCTTGTGCCTGAACGCTGCACATGTTCAGGACCATCTCAACTCCATCTTTCAGGGAGAAAAGGAGAAAAGATTGAAGATGAAGCCAATGGCGTAACTATCGGTAAGCAGAAACAGCATTTGCTTACGGGCCCATGACCTCTTAGCAGAGATGGGAAGTAACGAAGTACAAATACTTCGTCACTGTACTCAAGTACCGGTAGATTTTTCTGATATTTTTACTTTACTTTACTACTTATTTTTATAGCGACTTTTTACTTCTACTCCTTACATTTTTACACAAATATCTGTACTTTCTACTCCTTACATTTTAAAAAATTGGCTCGTTACTTTAGTTTTGAATCATTTCAATGGAGTTACGGTTATTATTTTTCATGTCATCAATACCAAATTCAATCTAATTGGATGGGAATCTACGTTGCATTAGACGCACCACTACAAGATGAATGGACAGATTCGGCGGTATTCATTCACGGCAAATCATTGCAGCTTGGTGGCGGTGGCGTTAGCATAGTAGCATGGACGACGAGATGATTGAAAATGAACACAAGTCCTATTGGCAGACATCCATTTAAAATGTAGGCAACGGCATGAAAAAAGTGGTTTCTACTTTTACTTTTATACTTTAAGTAAATTTACAAGCCTGTACTTTGTTACTTTTACTTGAGTAAAGAAGTTTAATCAGTACTTCCACTTTTACCAGAGTATTTTTTAACACAAGTATACTTTTGCCATCTCTGCCTCTTAGGCCCCGTCCACACGAAGTCAAAACGAACACGAAACGCTAATATTTTCCAGAACGTTTGTCGTAAAGATGGAGACGTAAAATAAATGTGATCGTCCACACGAATGCATGAAAACGCTGCAAAATGTATGCCAGGCCTGTAAGTGGCGCTGTGGTGCCAAAGCAAAAATAGGCGACGAAATGTTGGGCATGCGCACTAATATTTATACATGGTTGCCCTGCGGGTCCATTTTCGTGGTTCAGTCAAATTGAGTTGCTGAACTATGTCGTCTATATTGCTTTGTTCTTCCTGGAGATATTCCAGAAGAAGAAGATTCTGTTGTAAGCCCGACAGCAGGGTGAGTAGCATTAGCAGCAACCATTCAACACAGTACGGCGCCATTGTTGTTGTGATTCTGTGTCGCGCATGCGTGTTTAGAGGCGACGCTATGACGCATGCGTGTAAGAAAAAAAATGCGGTTAGAGCTTAAAGATGGAAACGTGAAAACGGCGTTTCAAAATCTTCCCACTCTGAAAGCTTAATAAAAAAAAAGATCGTTTACAGACGCCGGCTTCGTATGGATGAGAGGCTGGTTTGGTGAAAAGTTTGTGCGTTTAGGCCAGGGTTTGACTTCGTTGGGACGGGGCCTTGGGGACCCTATTGCTGACATTTGGTGGGCCCCCTACGCAATTGTAGACTAGGATGTCTCTTTGCACATGTAATGGTGCGGAAAATTCCTCTTAAACCCATCTGATACTGAAGTGACTGAACGGCCCGTATTTATACCGCAACACATGGCAGATTTCAACATGATGGTGAGCCGTTTAAACACGGGTTATGGGTTATGATGAACTGACTGAACATATTATGTACGTAACGTGCGTGCAGCGTGCAAGACATCACATCACATTAGACTAAAACCAGAGAGTAGATTAAACCATAACCGATAATGTTGCTTATGACCCTGTTGTTGTGTCTGTGAGAGTCAGGTCCAGATTGGTAATATTACTTTTTTTCATAAACTGGAGCAGAGAGGGCAGGAAGCAACAAATAAGGTCATTAGGCCACAGATGATGTCATATTTTCTGACCTGAATGTCCACCAGAAAGAACCACAGCATGCAGTAGATGCAGGTGAAGATCCAGACCCCTGCTATGATCCGCTTAGCCCGTGACACCGTGCACACCGTCTGAGCCTTGATGGGGTGGCAGATCGCGATGTACCTGCAGGTCAGGAGGAAACACAAGCTCAGAACATCTGCCAACGAACCGCTGCAGCAGCAGAACCAGAACTGAGCCACGGAGAGGGAGGTCACATGGCCAGGAGATGTTTGTCTCTAATCCTTCCTGATTGGATCTGAGGGGAATCAGAGTTTAATCCATTTTCTGGTTCTTCTCATCACCAGGCTCAGCTAGCAACACAAACAGGGATGAAATTGAGCAAATGTCTGAAAATCAAAGCGTGAGAACTTCATACTTATTGGGGGATCAAATAAACAAGAAGAAATAGATGAATTATTAAAAATATCATGTATTGTATGTATGTATCATGTATCACATAAATAAAATGCACAAATTAATTACAACAAAATACATAAAAAATACTTTTAGCTTATTTATCGAAGTATTTCTTCACTTTAACATTTATTTTACTTAAGATATCCAATCTATCTTATTTATTTGAAGTATTTATTTCTAACTATATTTATTTTTTTCAGTTGATTTATGTATTTTTACCCAGTTTCTTTGTCTTTTCTGTCTTCTTCTCATGTGTTTTGTTTCTCATTGAAGCAGCCGCTGACATGCTGCAGCTTTATGAAGGCAGCAGAGATGAAGCGCTTTGCATTCAAACTAATCACCTTTAAAATCTGCATCTTGGTCTTAAGTTGCCAACAGGGAAGTGATTTTCCTAAATGAAAAGGAGGCTGATTCTTCTGTGTTTTTGTAGAACATTAAAGGTTTTTTGTTTTGAATGATGAGAGATCACATCAGTTAATGCAGATCTCAGTCTGCTCGACAATAGTTTGGCTTTTATTACAGTTTTTTATTACAGCTGCGCCACCAGAATAACATTTCATCAGAGCATCACCAGTCACATGTGATCTGTAGCACAGTTTTAGTTTCATTGCTCTCGAGTCAAAGGCTCAAACCACGAGTTCGAGTTCTAGTCTTTAGAGTCCAAGTCAAAGTCTTTTTGTTTGTAAAATGACCCTCAGAAGAGGAGATACCGACTGCTCAGAAATACTCCACACAATGTGGTTTTAGCAGCAGAACAACAACCAACCCCTTAAAGACCGACTCACCCCCAAATTAACCAATGGTGTCTCAACAGATGCCTTTGTACTATCTACAGGTGCTGGTCATAAAATTAGAATATCATGAAAAAGTAGATTGATTTCAGTAATTCCATTTAAAAAGTGAAACTTGTATATTATATTCATACATTACATACAAACTCATATATTTCAGATGTTTATTTTGTTTAATTTTGATGATTACAAATGACAACAAATGAAAATCTCAAATTCATCATATCAGAAAATTAGAATATTGTGAAAAGGTTCAAAATTGATGGCCCCTGGTGCCACACTCTAATCAGCTAATTAACTCAAACCACCTGCAAAAGCCTTTAAATGGTCTTTCAGTCTAGTTCTATAGGCTACACAATCATGGGGAAGACTGCTGACTTGACAGTTGTCCAAAAGACGACCATCGACACCTTGCACAAGGAGGGCAAGACACAAAAGGTCATCGCTAAAGAGGCTGGCTGTTCACAGAGCTCAGTGTCCAAGCACATTAATAGAGAGGCGAAGGGAAGGAAAAGATGTGGTCGAAAAAAGTGTACAAGCAAGAGAGATAACCGCACCCTGGAGAGGATTGTGAAACAAAACCCATTCAAAAATGTGGGGGAGATTCACAAAGAGTGGACTGCAGCTGGAGTGAGTGCTTCAAGAACCACCACACACAGACGTATGAAAGACATGGGTTTCTGCTGTCGCATTCCTTGTGTCAAGCCACTCTTGAACCACAGACAGCGTCAGAAGCGTCTTGCCTGGGCTAAAGAGAAACAGGACTGGACTGCTGGTGAGTGGTCCAAAGTCATGTTCTCTGATGAAAGTAAATTTTGCATTTCCTTTGGAAATCAAGGTCCCAGAGTCTGGAGGAAAAGAAGAGAGGCACTTCATCCACGTTGCTTGAAGTCCAGTGTAAAGTTTCCACAGTCAGTGATGGTTTGGGGTGCCATGTCATCTGCTGGTGTTGGTCCATTGTGTTTTCTGAGGTCCAGGGTCAACGCAGCCACATACCAGGAAGTTTTAGAGCACTTCATGCTTCCTGCAGCTGACCAACTTTTTGGAGATGCAGATTTCATTTTCCAACAGGACTTGGCACCTGCACACAGTGCCAAAGCTACCAGTACCTGGTTGAAGGACCATGGTATCCCTGTTCTTAATTGGCCAGCAAACTCTCCTGACCTTAACCCCATAGAAAATCTATGGGGTATTGTGAAGAAGAAGATGCAATACACCAGACCCAACAATTCAGAAGAGCTAAAAGCCACTATTAGAGCAACCTGGGCTATCATAACACCTGAGCAGTGCCACAGACTGATCGACTCCATGCCACGCCGCATTGCTGCAGTAATACAGGCCAAAGGAGGCCCAACTAAATACTGAGTGCTGTACATGCTCATACTTTTCATGTTCATACTTTTCAGTTGGCCAACATTTCTATAAATCCTTTGTTTTTATTGGTCTTCAGTAATATTCTAATTTTCTGATATGATGAATTTGAGATTTTCATTTGTTGTCATTTGTAATCATCAAAATTAAACAAAATAAACATCTGAAATATATGAGTTTGTATGTAATGTATGAATATAATATACAAGTTTCACTTTTTAAATGGAATTACTGAAATCAATCTACTTTTTCATGATATTCTAATTTTATGACCAGCACCTGTACATGCCACAGGCATTAATCTGTTGACATCCTGCTAAGGTGTGTCTAAAACCGTCTGTTTGGCGCCTCCGTCAGGTTAAATAGGGGTTACTGCATCTGAAAGTGGATATTGGCTGTTACTCTCTGCTGGCTCCTCCTCCCACAGGCAGTGGTTAACATACGGGCCAACAATAAGTTAAATGGCTTTCTATTAATGGAGAAGTCCACTCTTTGAATATGAAATTATAAAATACTGTTCAATAAACGATAAGTGTAACTTCATTTGAATGTGCTTTACTGGAGGAATCCATGTTTGTCAAAGAACACTACTGCCACCTACTGGTTTGTGACGTCACGGTGCGGTATCGGCTGTTGATCAAGTCCCAGTGCTGTATCTGGTGTTTGTCACAACGCACTATTATCCAAGTCATCTTGAAAACATTCTTCTTTGAAATGTTGGCTACATATTATGTGTTTTTTCTCTGGCCAGAAGTTCGATGGCAAATCCTCCCAAAGTTAATCGGAAAGGATCATGAATCGGAAAGGTGAAACAACTAATTTTTTTTCACTTTTAACCGATGTATTATGGAGCCTAGGTGGAAGTTCAATTGAATAAACTGATTACTCACCTTCATCTGCCTACAACAGCGAATCAGCTTTGAACCACACCTCCACAAAAGCCAATCAGCATCCAAAGTTCATCTTAAAAGGCCTCCAATCTGCAACTCGTCTGCTACCTAGTGCGCAGGCAGTGGTTGCTCTGTATGACTTCATTCAGATGACCCCGTTTCAACCCATTTCCAGCCCCTCCTCCACCATCTAGGCTAAAACTTCATCAGAGTTAAAATCCTCCCGGACTCTTACTGCATTCCGCGTCTCATTTCAACCGCTCCGGTAGAAGACCGCCATGTTGAGCCTGGTTCTGCCAGAGGTTTATTCCCAATGGGGAGTTTTTCCTCTCCACTGTCACTTCATGCTTGCTCATCATAGACAGGTTTGCTCAACCTGTGTTATCCAAACTGGACTTCCATTTTCCAGCTCCCTGAGTGAAACTCTAGTATCAGCTCATGCAGTCAACTTGATCTGTCCATAAAGCTCAGCATACTGTCTTACTAACCAGCAGACTGACCAACTTCATCTGAACAGTCAGCATCCAGAATAGTCTGACATTAATTCAGTGTTAGTTTGTCACATGACCTGAAAGCTGCTGGAAAAAAACATTCACTTTATAGGAATAATTAAAATAATGGAAAATGCATCAAAACTTACTAGTCTAAATTACCAAAATGGCCTTAATTTGGTGTCATTGGGTCACAAGGCATGGAAGTTGTTCAGTCACGTTTGAGTCACTGTCAATCACAGCTGAGACCAAGCCCCGCCCACACAAGCTGTCCGGTTCTACAGACAAGACCTTTTATTGAGAGGATTGTGAAATACAGCATGTGGGCATAAGTGTCTGTTTGCATTTAAAGGCCTTTCTAGATGAATCCCAACTTAGAGAATCTCCAGTTATTTTCTGACTTTTGCTTTTTTTAATGACCATTAAAAGAGCCTTTGAACATCAGCTCACTGAAATGCAGAGAAATATAATGAGAGCTGAACGTCCTGCTGAGTGCCATCCACCTATGTCCTCCTGTTTGGGTCCTCTTTATCTCAGACCCTGACATTTCTCACGCTGTGCAGAGCCCACTTTACTGTCCTCCTCTGCGACCCTTGCAGCGTTTCGCCCACAGAACCAACCACTCGCTGCAAACATTCAAAAGAGAGAAATAAATGTCAAGATCAGCTCTGTCTCACCTCTCCACAGTGAACGCAGTGATGGAGCATGACGACACGTTGATTCCCAGGTATTGAAGGTAGGTGATCCCCAGGCAGCCAGCGTTTCCATAAATCCAGGTCCCTGTCAGGCTGTCGGACACGTTGGGGAGCCCTGCTGCCACCAGCACCGTTAGGTCAGCTATGGCCAGGCTCACCAGGTAGCAGTTGGTGGGCGTCCTCATGTGGCGGGTCGTGAACACCACAAGGACCACCATGATGTTCCCCACGATGCCCACACAGCACACCAACAGGACCAGGAACACAGAAATGGTCTTATACTCCAATGAGTCGGAGACAGCGACGGTGGAGCTCAGGGAGATGTTGGTCGGGGTATCAATTCTGGAGCTGAAGTTTTGGGTCATCTCTGCCAGTTTGTTAAGCAGCAGCGAAGCTCATTTAATCTGAACTGATTGAGAAGATTGGGAAACCCAAAGTGTGGCCATCTGACCTTCTCACGTGTATCCAGGCTGGAAGGTTCTGGTTAGGAAGAGGAACAAGCTGCAGTGAATTCTGAGTAGAGCGATTCCTGTTCCTCTCTGGTCTCTGGTATGAAAGTCCCATTCAAAGCAGCTCTTCAGTCTAATGCAGAGAACCCGATTTATCCCAGCACTTCTGAACTTGTCCCAGTCCACAAAGGAGTCACCTGAAAACAGAAGCAGGGTTTAGTTAAAGCAGGGATCCTGTCCTGCATATTTTGGTTCTCCAGAGTCAGCCTAATGACATCATCAACTGACTTGGATGTCTTCAAGGAAAGACACATTTATAAGTTTCAGGACCTCAAGGACTGGAACTGGGGAACTGGGAGTTAAAGGGACAAAAATTCCTAGAATCTTTCCTACGATATCCTAGAATTTCTAAAAGTAGAATGGGAGGCAGATCTTTTAGTTATCAGGCTCCTCTCCTGTGGAACCAACTACCAGTTTTAGTCTGTGAGTCAGACACCCTGTCTACTGATAAAGTTTATAGTTAGAGTGGCTCAGGTTATCCTGAGCTATCTCTATAGTTATGCTGCTATGGGCTTAGACTGCTGGAGGACATAGGGACCCCTATTTCATCATTCTGCTTCATTCTATCTCTATTCTCCCAATCTGCAGAATCTGTTAGTTCAATCTCTAATGTTATGCTCTCTGCTTTTCCTCAGAGTAGCTTTGCCTTGTCTGTTCCTGTTTGGCTGTGACGCTATCCTGTAGAGAAATATCAGCTGTGCTGCTGCCATCAACACCCTTGTTTATAGATGTTGGAGATCGGCCTGTTTTCCAGTGTAGTCCTGTCTATCTGACCGTGACTGGCTGGATGTGCTCTCTTCATCCTCTGGCATTGGAGCTGGCTCAGAGCTCGTCTGCCTGGCTGTGTGTTTCCTGGACGGGGCCGCCTTTTACAGCTGCTTTTTGTATCTCTGCTTCTGTCTCCTTAAACCCCAGTCGGCCTCGGCAGATGGCCGCTCACACTGAGCCTGGTTCTGCCGGAGGTTTCTTCCTGTTCAAAGGGAGTTTTTCCTCTCCACTGTCGCTACAAGCATGCTTAGTGTGAGGGATTGTATTTGAGTCAATGAGTCAATGCGATATACTGGTTTTCCTTAGATAGAAAACTTAGAATCAATTTGACTGTATGATCTGGTGAACTTAAGATGACATGTGTTGTAAATTGGCGCTATAGAAATAAACAGGATTTAATTGAATTGAAACTTTGCCAGAACAGTTGAGGTTCCAGGAGATATCAGAAAATCACATCAACAATCTGCTCCATAGATCTGGTCTGGAACAGGAAGGTGTTTGCCAGTTAGAGTTATTAGTCCCAGCACCCCAACGCCAGAGCGTGACACGCTCAGCAATGAACAGTCAGTCAGTTGCTACCTGTTCAGCCAGGGGGAATTAATTCTACCTGATTTGGAAGTTAAATAAAAAGGTCTCCTCTATTAAACATTTTGGAGGAGTGTTGATGGTTGAGCTTATTTCAGAACATTGCAGTTTATGGTCAGCTGTGGCCATCAATCAGTGAGGCCATCTGTGTAATTTTGACAGAACTGGGTCATCTGCAGGAAACCATGGGGAACATCCAGCAGTGGTGAACCTCCTCCTGAGGTGATGTGGAAGATTGAAGCCACTCAGATAATTGCTTCTGAGAGGGTCTGTGGGCCACTGGATCAACAGGCGGACCTGATCCTACGGCCAACCAAAGCAGTTTTTCCAAGAAATAAAACGTTACCCTTTTACATTGTCTCACCAAATTCAAATCAATGTATAAATAGAAACGTGCAGACCCTGACATAAACTAATCACTGTGGGCAGTCGACATCTTGCTCTTACCCAGTGTTTATAAAGCTGAAGCAGTGATTTCAAGGATCAGGCTGATTCTGAAGGTTTTGTAGAATATCTCTATTTATCACTGGTCCCTGAAGAAGCCCTGGCATTTTAAAGAGAACCACTAGCCTAAAAGTCACATCTCTGGACTGTAGGAGGAAACTGGAGAAACCAGAGAGTACAGGGAAAACATGGACAGGCTGTGCAGTTATAGCCCAGGGTGATATCGAACTGGAGACCTTCTTGATGTTCTCCCACAACTGCGCAGTCCTCCAAATAGGCCAGCTGCTCTATCTTCCTGGTCTTGCTATTTGAAATCATCTTTGGTACAGGAGACGTCCTTTACATCGTTGTCCAACAGATGCAGGTTTGGGTCTGAACGTTCTGTTTGCAAACGGTACGAACCAAGCGTTGAAAAAGAGACAACTAAGCCGCTCCCACCACAGACCCCCACCCTGAATGTTTAAGGCTACCTCTGACATGTTGACTCATAGATCCCTAACAGTAAAGAGGGATCCTTCAACTTTGTTCAGTCACTGGCTCAAAGGATCTCACTCCTTGTAAAGGTTCCTGCAGGCAGAGGCGCCAAAAATATTTAGCGGCGCTCTCAGTCGTTAACAAATTGGCCTTTTCACGCTGTATCATCACATTTAACACTAGTTATGATTTTCTTTTATCATATCATCTGTTCAGTTAACCAGTAGTGTTGTAGTCAAGACCACACCAACCAAGACCAAGGAGTACTGAGACCAAGACCTTACATGGTCATGGTTTTGGTCTCTAAATGTCTTGGCCTTGCCTCTGTACTCCTTGGTCTCGGTTGCTGTGGTCTTGACTACAACACTATTAGCCTGAACCTGAATTTGGACAAGAAATAACCCGATGGATGTCGAGAGGGCACCTAAAGCTATGGTTACTTGGTGGTGCCGGCTGTCTGCAGCCGTGCCTCATTGACCGCAGCAGATATGTTACCTTCTCCAGGCTGCATGGACACTGGTTCCCTTCACTCCTTTCCTTTCCATAGGTCTTAAGCAGTCTGAGAAAGTCCATGATGGAGGTTCTGGAAGAGGAGACATTTATTATTACCATAATAAAGTCCATCATCTCAGAGTACGATGGGATGGAAGGAGAGTGTAAGAGGATGACAAAGAAGAAGGTTTGAATCTGCAGCGATGCTCTAGTCTGCATGATGAGCTGCATGTGGTCAGTGGCTTGACTTGAAACCTGAATAATTGTTGTTATTGATCTTCTATAAGCTTTGGTCTGCCTGAATGCTTTACTCTGAGCCTCGTCCCACCCTGTGCTTCATATCTTTCTGATAAAGCCTTCAGTTTCATGACTCATATCCAGATTTTTTGGGGCTCTAATAGTTTTTTTTCTGAATTTGAAAGTAGGCAGACAGGAAATTGGATTAGAGAGAGGGGGTAGACATGCAGAACCAATGATCACAGCCACAGGGTCGCACCCTCAGCCACTGCAACACAGCGGTGCCCTCATATCCACAGTGTTTATACTGTCAATATGTGGAACTTCTGTCCTGATAAGCTGAGTTCAATAGCCTGCTTTTAATGGTCTACAGCAGGGGTAACCAATTAAAAATCAGCAGGGTCTGAATAAAGAAAATTATCAACCAGTAAAGGTCCGGAGACATTTTTAATTATAATCTGTTACTTTAAATAGAATTTAACACTGAAATAATAATAATAATAATAATAATAATAATAATAATAATAATAATAATAATAATAATAATAATAATAATAATAAAAATAATGAGGTTTTTATGCATTAATTTTATACATTTAATGTTTAAATAAAAAAATATATATATACCGTACATTTTTTTTTCATTTTAAAATCTAAAGTGTTTTTTTTTAAGTAGAGAACTACAATCATTCAGTTTGTTATATAGACAACTACCTGATTCACATATTTTATAAAACACCTGAACTGACCTATGTTTTTTTTTCTGTCTTAATGAGAGCAGTGGGCTTTATGCTGCCCTGCAGGGCTTTAAACCTGGGTTTGAATGGAGACTAAGCCGTTCTAAAGCACATATCAAGGAGCTCATTTTGAGCCTGGATCCATATTTATTTTTGATTCTGTTCATGGTGGAGAATCCTGCTTCGCAGCAGCAGGTTGAGCCAAACCTCCTCTAAATGTGCAGGGTCATCTTTGAGCACAACATTTCACTTTTCTTTCACCAGTTCACTGCAGTTCTTCCAGCAGTCCACACTTTCTCTGCTCTCTTTTTCTCATCGTCTTCTCCTTCTTTCCCATCGCCCGGCTTGCTACAGGTTTGCCTGCTGTGTCTAAAAGTAGCAGCAGCAACAACCCAGACTGACAGCAGCTAATTTGTATCACGTGCAGCCTGGTCCTGGACGTCCCGGATGGCCTTACCATATTAAAGGGGAATGCCGTATTTTTTACATTGGGCCCTTGATTTTACGTTATTACATCATGTTCTACTCGCCCATATGAGTTTTGTGTCATTTGGAGCTGTTCTGAAGATATTCCGTTATATCCAGGTAACGTCTTCCTATGGGCAACGAGTTGAAGGCACAAACTGAACTTTTCATAATTTATTCTTTATGGTACGCCACCATTCATAACATGTAGGCCAATCACTGTCCCCCAGACATCCGCGGTTATATTTTTCATATTTATGTTTTTTTTAAACATAAACAAAAACGTATGACGTCATCCGCGCGCCGGACTGGAGTTGTGACAGGCAGCCCGGGCCACAGGCAGCTACGCTCTACCCCTTCTATTCATTCAGCTAGCTAACCTGAATTGTTCAATTCCATTTGGAGAGCGAGATCATCTGTGGTAGCAGCACTAGACATCTTCCAGGCATGTGAGGAAAACTAGCAGCAGTTCAGCGGACAGGATGAATGAACCGTAGCCGGCGCGTGGATGACGTCATACACACTCTGCTTTGTTTTAAAAAAAAATAAATATAAAAAATATAACCAAAAATGTCTGGGGGACAGGGAATCGCCTACATGTCATGAATGCTGGCGTACTATAAAGAATAAATTATGAACAGTTTAGTTTCTGCCTTCAAGTCGTTGCCCATAGGAAGACGTTACCTGGATATAACCTAACCGAACATCTTCAGAACGGCTCCAAATGACACAAAACTCATATGAGTGAGTAGAACATGATGTAATAACGTAAAATCAAGGCCCAATGTAAAAAAAAAACTACATTTAACAGGAGAAGAACAGTGCAAGTGAAGTTAGACAATGTTGTCGGACAACATGCAGTAATTTATAAATGTTTTAAATCAGGTTGGGTCCGGATCCGGACAGCGGCCCGCTAATCCGTGACCTCCTGCCTACAGCATCTTTATTTGTCTAGTTTATTAAATGTTTTAGATCTCATATGTCAAGTTTAGAATTGGAGTGCCTAGAACAGACAGGAGGATATTAAAAAAAGGAGATTGACAATTAAATAGGTATACCCACATTTCTTGTGCTTTGAGTTTTGTTTAGTCATTTTTGTTCCATTGTTGCATCATTTGTTTATCTGCATCCCTGTGCTTTTGACTACTTGTCCTTCATTCTTATAGGGTTCAAACCTGCAACAGACTCATTTGAACTGCTATTTTCCAGAATCCAGTTCTGATCCATAACTCATAACAATAGGTGAAAACCTACAGAGGCTGTATAGGGCAGAAGACAATTTCAATCATCCTAAATGCCGACGGAGAAGTGCAGAAAGGCACTGCATGCAGGTGAGACAATGAGGAAATTAGGTGGAGTGGCTAAAGCAGCTGGAAGATAGAAATACCGAGGGAGGAAGACTTATTAAAATCAACAGAGTCAAATTAAGACTCTGTTAAAAAAAAAGAATAAAAATAACTGAAGGCAATAAATGAGAATCCACAGGGAACAGAAGCCATGAAGAGAAAGGAAACAGACTTTAAAGGATTGAAGGATGAGTTGGCAAAATTGAACTGGCACTGATAAACCCAAAAGTGTTAACTAGATATTGTCAGGAATCCAGTTTTTGTGGGTTGTTTTTGTGTTTCCTTTTCTCCTCCACCAGGTGGTGCCCTGTCCTCATTAGGCCTTCCTGCACACTTGCAGCTTGTTGCCTCATTACCGGAGGACTCTTAAGCTGCTGACTGCCACTACCTCGACGCCAGAGTGTTAGCCAGTTTTGGGTACTCTAGCCAAGCTGAGTTTTGCTGAGTCAAACTGAGCTTTTGTCACCTGAGTTTTAACCTTGCTGTTTTTGTCTTTGCCTCTCGGCAGGAAGTCATCCTGCAAACTGGATGTTTTGGACCTTCTCCCCCCTGGAAGGATTCTCTGAGCATCAAACTGAGCTGAGGATTTAAGCTAGTGGTTTGGATCTACTTTTAACCAAGGATTGTTTGGGGCTTCTCTCTTAGCAGGGGATTCTTCTCCACAAGAAACCGTTCAAGTACCTCAGGGAAACTAAGTGGCAGTCAGCTCCTCTGTTCCTCAAGGAAACACAGCAACCTGGGTAAACCCTGTCCGCCCTCCAACGAGCAAGTCTTTACTGGAACAACCCACACTGACTGGATTCAACAAGAGACACCTTTTTCTGGAAACATGAGTCCTGTTGCCTTAATTCCATTCTTCAAGTCAAAGACACAAATTTCCCACTGAGCCTGAACTAACCACAGAATCTACCCCTTCACTTTTCAGTCCCAGTTCAGCAGTGTTCAGAGCAGCACTGGACTCTTCTCAACCTATTCAAAATAAAACCTGTTAAACTTTTCCCTGGTCTCTCTGCTTGGTCTTCTGCATGTGGGTCAGATCTTAGATAAATCATGACAGATATGCCAACACCTGACTAAAACTAATGCAGAAAAATTGAACAAGGGATTAATCAGAGACTTAAGACAAACAAAACCCAAACAACTATAGATACGACATCCCTGCAGTGGAGCAGAGCGATGATGGGGCTACATCCATCCATGAGCCTAACCCTTCATCTAAATGACAATGTTGGTGATCTGTTGCATACATGGTTCATCCTGGTATGAAACCGGACATCCTTGTTATGATTTATCATTAGGAATAACTATGGGGTTACAAACTGCTGAAAACCTTACAGGGGTCGGACACTCTACTTTTCCTTTACCTTTTTTTTCTCAGAGGAAGTTTTCTGCTGGACTCCTGTGGCAAATGGCTGCAGCACAATTGAAGGGAAGGTTTGGTACAAAGAAGGCTGAATTATAATTTAATCTTCTGACCAATTGGGGTCAGGACCTCTTTAAAAGGTGGATGTAAACAGCTGTGTGGTTTCAACAAACAGCTCTAAGGAGAAAGGAAGGATTTGAGTCAATTACATCTGCAGCCTTTGACTTCGTGTCCACTGAGGTTAAGTGCAGCTTTCTCAGGGTCCACGAAGCTTTGAAAGCAGTTTTAAGCCGTTAGCCCATTCATGGCAGCAAACCTTCTGGTCTGACAGCTAACAGGTGTACTTCACAGTTGTCTGAAAGTCTGCAGAGTGCTTGACTCCCTCTAGATGCTTCTAATTATGAATAAATGTGTTGTTGAAGGGCCTGATGGTGTCACCCAAAGCAAGTTAAGCTGAGTCCTTCTTGGCTTAGAGCTGCACAGCGCTCTAATGAGATCCACAGTGGATCCTTATTAAAAAGTAATATTCAGATGTACCATTCAGGCTCCTAAAATGCTGCACTCAAAGCATTAGAACAGTGCATTAGGAGCCTCGACATGACAATCTGACAAAACAATGAAAAGTAAATGATTATTCTTCCTCTTCTGATGCCTCCTAGTGTGATTCTGATAATGCTGCAGACACTTTTCTAAATGCAGGAACAGAATCTGATAAAAGCCCTTTTCACACTTTAACAGCCTGAAAGGCTTTTCAGGTTCCTGCAGGGTTAAGTGTTTCCCTTTAAAAGAAGCCTAACATTTGCTTTCTAGGAGTTTTATTCAGCTCAAAGCTGATTAACCAGCATGCAACACTTTGAATCATGCATGATTCACCCACAGTGGTGATCAAGTAACACTTGAAATTTGATACGGACGGCCAATTTACATTTTTATGACGTCTGTA